CTATCAAGACGAGCACGACTCGGTCAACTCCTAGGCCAAGAGCTCGTATGAGCTCAGAGACGCCGCGCTTGAAGCTTCGCAAGCCAGAGAGCCCTACCAAGTACATTCAAGGAGAGGCGCGGAAGGTTAGCATGGAGCTGGGTAAAGTCATGGAAGAGGCCTTCAACCGCTCTTCTGTCGGCTCGAGCGTTCGTTCAGATGCTTACCACGATGTATCGCAATATGACAGCCCTCCAACTTCGTTCTCCAATACCCGCGACTCAGGTGGCAGTACTCTGGCTGCTACCCCAGGTGCTAAGCTACTTTTTGGAGAGCGGCCATTACCACCAACTCCCGCCGAGACACCCACTACTTTCCTGCAGCGAAAGCTGGCGGAGACGCGTGCAGACATCGCCCGACGACGGAACGAGGATGACGATACCACTGAACATTTCAACGAGGTTCTTGAGCATCTCGATCGTTTGATGGTGCCTGGGGTTGGAGGCAAGCGTACAGTCTCTGCTCCAGCGAGGTCCCCCGAGCGTCAACCGCTACGCGCCATCCCGGAGGAAGTCAAGGCTGATAGTGGGAATGGGTTTGATACCCACGTTCCCCAACGTCGAGCTGTCACTGACCCCGTCAGGCCTCTTGGTCGTCGTGTGGTAACCGAGCAGCAGCAGACTATCCGTATCGTCGATGGATCGCCCACCCGTGTCGCGCCTCTAAACATCCGCAAGCGCAGTGGTGCAAGCTTGAAGACGAATGCAACTAACGAAGTGCCTGCTGTGCCTTTGATTCGATCATATGAGAATGGACAGCACGATCTGCAAGCTCCACGTACGAACGAGGCCGCTCCCGTTCTCCAAAAGCAGAACACACTGCTAAAGAAGAAGAAGTCGCTGTGGTTCCGTCGCAACACTGGCGAGCAGGAGCGTGATCAAGAGAACAAGGAGAACCAAGTCAAGAAGAAGCAGTCAAACACTCTCCTCCAGATCCCAGAGGCATGGCAGGGTCTCGATGACCGCATTAAGGCTGATCGTGCACCATTTACGAACATTGAGAGCGAGAAGCTTGATCATAAGGGTGTAGATGGTAGCAGCGGAAGCGAATTCCCCATGCGCAACAGCAGTTCAGCTGCCACGAAGAGCGATGGTTCGACTCGCAAAGGCTTCTTCGCCTTCTTTGGCAAGAAGAAGGACGACAAGGGCAAGAAGCCAATGGAACTTGGAGGTGAGTTCACTCATTCTTACTTCCATTTCTGATCAAACACTAACATGCTTCCAGGACTCAACTTCAGCTCATCTTCGATCCTGTCCAACTTCGACATCAGTTCTGACAACAATAACGATACAGCTCGTACTGGTCCACCGGAAATGCAGATGAACTGGTTATCACGCTTCCTCCACATCAAGCCTGCCAGCAAGACGCTATGCTTCCAGATTGGCCGTGGCAAAGTTCGTCAGGACCTTGTTCGCTTGCTGCGCGACTGGCAACGTTTCGGCGTTCAGGACGTCTCACTGGACCGCGCGTCAAACTCGATCAACGCGCGCATTGACAGGAGCAACCGTAAGTGCCCACCACTCCGAGCGTGTCTTCTGTTCAGCGGATAGCGTCTGCAACACTGGCGGTTCGAAGTGGAGATGCTCGAAGCCGAGCTTGTATGGCGATGTAATGCTGCGATTTACTTCTACAACCTATGCAAATCCATGCTAACACATTTTCCCTCATAGACCTCAAGATCAAGCCCGTAACGTTCGTCATCGAGCTCTTCGTCGTACTCGAACACGGACGCCGCGCCAACCTCTGCCTCGCCCGCTTCACGCAAACCCGTGGCGCCGCCTCCAGCTTCCGCAAGGTCGTCGATATTGTCGAGGACGTCTGCCGCGCTCGCTGCATGTTGGTTGAAGACGAGGAGAAGAGAGCTTCGATGATGGAGGTCTTGGACTAGGATACCAAGATGAAAAAGCATGAAGATGATAATGATAATGACGGAGCGGGGTGTTTGGATACCAGATGGCATACTTCTTCCCTCTTGTGAGTAGGGCTTAGGGATCGTATTGTGCTTTGAGTCTGGGTATCTTGTTTGTAGTAGGAGATGGGAGATTGATGGATTGGTGAAGGCATGTGATCTTCTGAATACGATACAGATGGATACGCTTTCACATGCTCTTGTGTTGGCGTGTGGATGGCTGATGGGATGATGTTGGTTTACTTGTACACGTATACTCCCTCCCGGCGCCGAAGATAACGTCTAATACGTAATAATAATAGTCGCTTCTGCGCTTACTGTCACACTTACGTGCCTGTCATGGTGCGTACATGGTACTTTCAATGAATATATGACCACCATGAGCGGCACCCAAGAGGTGTTCAAGCACTGTGCCTTCGACAGTCGAGAACCTCTTAGGTTCTTCTATACGGAAGATCCATACTCCGAATAGCAGCGGAGGACACGAAAGCCTGCTGTAGCCGTCTGTCAGGCCATTGAATAGCTAAATGATGGAGATTTAGAGATATGTATTCTGCTGGCTCTCGAGGTTTCGCCACTTCTCTGACTGTTATGTTGTACATCACGATGGTGTTGCACATGTGAAGGTGTTACGCAGATGATATGACAGTACGTACATCGACATAAAGAGTACGGATGATAGGTGTCTTTTGATATGTGCCAGACGAGTAGGGTTTTTGAAATGTCAGAGGTAGCATACAATAGAGAGCATCATGGCACCAGTCGCAGTAGTACAATCATTTAGTTCAGTTCTGTTCATGTTGAGTAACTCGCCAGGATGCCTGCATAATCCCGCCGTTGTCTGGACTACTTCTTACAGGCAGGACCTATAGTATGTCATACCATCCTGGCTGCTGCGATGGCGCCTCACAATCCTGTCGTACTAGACATGCACATATGAGTTCAAGCTCTTCCGGTGTTCGTGAGGACGTGGTATTGCATTTGCCCTATGGCGCCAGACGCTAATGTGGACAGTGTCCGGCACACCGATCCAAAAAGAGGTGAAGAAGCCATGATGCCATTCCATTCATTCCATTTTCCGTAGTGTGTTTGTTCGGAAGAGAGATTCAGAGAGTAAAGGAACACCGAGTCATCCCGAAAAACCAGCCATAACCCAGACTATGCACGCCATATCGAACCCAGCTTAACGAGTCCTTGCCTGCACCTTTGGTGCGGCACCCTTGGCACCCTGCTTGCTGACCTTGGCGGCGTTGCCTCGTGCGGACGCGGCGGCGTTCTTGGCCTTCTCAGCCTTCTTCGCTGACTCGGCGGCGGCCTTCTTCTCCTTGCCCTCCTTGATGGCAGCGGTGCGGGCGGCGGTACGGGCCTCGGGACGTTGGCTGCGGCGCTCCTTGATCACGTCGAGCGAGGCACCGACGATGGCACGCTGGTGCTTGACTGTGCGGCGGGTACGCTTCTTGGCGACTTCCTGTTGGAGAGATGGTGGTTAGCGCAGTCCGTGATGGGGGAGTAGAGATGCATGTTGCGATGAGAGCAACATCGCCGCTGGGGATGTTTGCCATGCCCAAGTCTGTCCGTTGTACAGACTGATGTCATAATTCACTGTCTCCCAAACATGTCCCAGCGGCGTGTACATGAGTTCGCGGCGACTAACCTCAGAGATACCCTTCTTGTGCGCCCTTCGGTAGAGAGTGGTCCAGTGAATCTTGCGAGGGTTCTTGCGCTGGAGGAAAAGGGACTCGGTCTTTCCGTTCTGGAAGCGGAAGATCTTGCTGTCACCACGGATGTAGAGCTTGCCCTGTTTATGCCATCAGCGAATGTCCGACCCATTGTAGTGTTCCATCCCCGTCCGCCAGGTGTTCGCGTTGTCGCCGTCGCGATGGCGGGATTTCGACGTCTGAGGGGCGAGCGGCGGGACGTGGAGGGGCAATGTAACGCACCTTGCCCGGGTAGATCTTTTGACCGCTGAAGGAATCGTCGTAGGTACGCATGTTGGCGGTGTTGGCGTGATACCTGTGTGTTAGTCGTGGGGTTGTCGTCGGTCGCGAATTCAATATTGCAACTCCGGAAGAGACCTGTGGGCGGGCTAAGCCTGGGCAGGCTAGTCTCTTGGCGCGCGCGCGGTGGCTGGTGCGCGCCTGTCTTTCACTCACCCACACACCGCGATGCAACTTCAACGCGTCAGTAATTCTTCATTGCAAAGTGTGCAGTGGTACTTGTGAAAGCTAGGCATCTGTCGATCACTTTTACGCATCTGTACGACAGCTGTAAACCCACCTCTCTCATCGCATTCAGTCTTACGGCCGCCTGGACAGCAATCACTCACCACAAGCGAATGCATTCTCTTTCTTCATCGGCGAACCTGTTACCGAATAGTCCGATATCGTCCGATAGTTCTGCAGATGCCTTGCCCACGTCTCTCTCTACCACTGGATATGAAGATGCTCAGGCTACTGCGGTCCTTCCACTTCGACCAGCGCGGACTGAACATCACCTAGATTATGACCCTAGATATCGACGAAGAACCTGGTGATACACCTTCAACGCGATAGTAGAAGAGCCTATGACGGCATCCTTCACGGCGTTTGTGTTGATGCCTAATCCATCCTTCACTCTGTCCGCCCCACCCACACGCCATGATTTCTACGTCATTTCTGGCATCTTGGTACATCCGGAAGGCACTCGCATACTTTCATGCTGATGTGATCTAGCTAATAAAGCTAATGTGTATAGCAAGGGCCACCGTCAAAACAGCTCGAGAAGGTTCGTCACTACCGGATTCGTCAGACCGCAACACTGTGGGCGGTAAGACCATCAGAAGATCATTGGAGCAGCCATCAACGTCCTAGCCACTACACCGCAAGTTTAGCAGAGAAATGAGTGAAACAGCTCGCGAAGAATATTCGGTACTGATTCCACCGTGGGCTCTCCGTTTGTCTTGTAAGGCCTGGAATACTCATGAACTTACAGCCCGATATTGTTCCAATCACCGAGTACATATAAAACTTCAGCAATATCAGCAACAAGAAAGTTCTTCCCAATGTTACTCGTCATGGATCCTTCATCACACAAAGTATCGGTTGCGTCCGCCGGTTCCGGTATGCAGTTACGAGAGCATGGCGATACAACGTTTGACCCGACAACGCATCGTCTCGTCACTGCATCGACGCCACGGTCTGCACGAGCGAACGCAGCCATATCTACCCCTACTCTACACGATCAAGATCTGGTAGATGTCATGGCCGAGCTTGAACGTCATCAATCTGATCACCGAGCGGCCTTCGCCTTCGACACAGCTCAAGGCGGTCGTATCCATCCGTTAAACGAGGATGAGCTAAGACACCTCCGCAAGGAAAAAGATGGTGTCTTCGGTCCATCTCAGTGGGACACGCCGAACCTTACCGGAGAGTTGCCGTTCACTTTCACATCGCTACCCAGCCCTGCGGCAGTCGAGAAAGCGATCAAAAGCGACATTGGAGGTGAGAATCACTTCCGTTTCGCACCTTCGCGTGGCTCGCCAGAAGACGATGCAAATGCAGTCATGCGCTTGCTCGACAACATAGGCAATCCTAGATATTCTGAGCCTGGCGCGGTTGTCCATATACAGTCGCCTATCTTTAACCAGAAGAAGCGCTGGATACCAGGACGGGAAGGGGACGGTGTACTGGGTCAGTCAGAGTTCCAGATGACTGTTGCTCCAGCAGGCGAGGTGTTCGAATTGGAGTACTACGAACACCACTTTTATACGACGCTGTTGACCGGCTCGAAAGTATGGTTCACTTTCCCTCCACTGCAAGCCAATCTAGACCGGCTCCGCAAAGCGTACGAAGGTATGCATGACCGCAACACCTCACACGTTCCCCTGGATGTTCTTTCGGAAATGCAACATGGCATTGCAATCATTCAGAAGCCAGGACAGACCCTCCTGCTCCCACCATACTGGTCCCACATGATATTCTGTACCGAGACATCAACATCGTGTAGTTTCTCTTTAGCAACCGCTGCGCAATTCATGTACCGCATTAAGCACATGGATCTGTGGGTCAGCCATAATCTCTTCTGGGACACAGGAGAACAGCTACAATCCCACCTCGTGCGCTATGCCTCAGAACTTGCCACTCATTTCGCGACAATTATGACGGGCGACCTCAAGCGCTTCAAAGTCGCCCCCGTGCAGAACCAGATATGCAGCGAATGGGTCAAGGCTGGACCGAAAGAGGTCGCAGAGTTTGAGAACATGAAAGAGAAGATTGGCGTACTTTTGTCATTGATTGAGGATGAGGATGCGAGAGAGAGAATAGATGATGAGATCCGACATGCGTGGATTGAGTTCATGGAGGAGAAGCGCAAAAAGAGACCAGAATGCCGGCTATGTCGCGTACGTATCGAGCACATGCCAGCGGGAGAGACGCCAGATGAGCGGCTGGCACGACATGTCACCGACGTGCACTGCTCGTACGAGGAGTAATCATTTCGACATGTCCGTCACAGCGAGAGGTGCACTACTTTGGTGCATCAAATTTTGAAGGTCTTATTCCCGGGACGTTCCACAACTGTCATGGAATAACTCAAATACGCCGCCCGCCCATCTCACGCCACTATCATTCACTATTAGTATAAAGACCCACGTCGCACAATGCGAGTCAAGTCGTCGCAGCCGCGCAACCACAGTGAGGGAGAAGAGCATCGGATCGGTCCCTGCCATCCGACACTAAACCGCCCGGGCCGGCCGCCATCTTCAACCACCAAGCCCAAACAGGTCTAACAAGCGGAAACGACCCACGACTTGAGTTCATGCCCCCGCACACTACACCCTGAAATCTTTTGCCTCCGGTGAACTAGACCGCCGCCATTCTGGCAGCTAGAATGCGCCATTGTCAGCAATCGATACTTTTGTACAAAGCTGAGCTGCGGCTGAAGAAATTTCCTCGAACCTGAATGGAAGGCCTGATCTACGACCGAGGTTCGGCTCGTACCTGCAGACGAAGATGCAGAAGTGGAGAAGGCATTAGACATGTTCTAGGTCGGAGGGGAGAGCCAAATCGGGTACCTATATAAGCACGATATGTAATGAATGGACGGGACGGCGGACAAGAAGATATTACAACACAAATCTCAAATTTACCTATTAGTCGAGCATTTCTACACGCGTCCTACCCACCTACCCACATCTCCAAAACCTCCATCAGGGACGATCGAAAAAATAAACATCACTATCGACAAAGCCTGTCTTAACACCCCTACACATACCTAAAATGCGCTTCCTCTCCACCCTCCTGAGCACAACCCTCAGCCTCCTTACCCTCACCTCCGCCGCCGCAACAATGAACACCACAAACGGCATGGGCACCACACCCTCTCAACGCTACGTCATCTCCGCCTCGCAAGCACAAACCGTCATCGACGCCGCCATCACCAACGCCACATCCCTCCAGATCCCCGAGAACATCGCCATCGTAGATCCCTCTGGCCTACTCGTCGCTTTCCACCGCATGGACAACGCATTCATCGGGTCCATCGATATTTCGCAGAAGAAGGCTAGGACGGCTGTGCTGTTCAATGGGTTATATGCTAGTGCGGATTTGTATGCGGCGGTGCAGCCGGGTGCGCCGCTTTATGATGTGCAGAACACGAATGGGGGGTTGATCGCTTTTGGGGGCGGGATACCGATTTACCTGGAGGGAAAGTTGATTGGAGGCGTGGGTGTTAGTGGGGGAAGCGTAGAGCAGGATTTGAGTGTTGCGAATGCGGGAGTGGAGGCTTTGGGGGCGACTACGAAGGCATAGGCCTAAGGGGTAGCCGTGGAGGACTATATTCGATTTTTAGGTCGCTAGCAAAGATACCGTGACCCTGAATTCATCATTCATGCCCCGCCCCGACTCACACTGTGATAACGACACATGCGCGCTCAGCATGCATTCCCACTATCCTCTCTCTTCTGACGCTTAGGGCTCCGGTCAAACGATTGTGGAAACCCTCCTCCAAGCCGCTGCAGATCTCCATTCCGCGCTACTTCCTCCGCAAACATGAATCTATCAAACGCGCATCAGCACGTCAGACTTGTAGGAAGTTACCTCATGAGCTCATACGTCTGGCTCCTTTCCATGCCTTCTATTGCGTCCTTGGCATCGAGCCTCGTTTCTTCTCTGACACCCTCCATCTCCGCGATCGCCGCGAACCGCTCTTTCCAGAGCGCCCATCTTTCTTTGCTGAACTCGCTTTTACCTTTCCACAGTTCGCCTCCGCGTCCTGGGTTGCCTTGCTTTTTATCGGTGGGCGTGAGATCTTTTTCCATGCGGAAGAGGTCGTGGCCGTAGGCTATTATCCAAGCTGCAGCTGCGGGAACGTTTGCGTCGTATTTTTGGTTGGCCGTCGACATCGGTTCGTCGATGGGAGGTGTCTCGAGAGCTTCCCGTAGCGCGAAGATGGCGTACATGGAGAGATCGTGGATATGTTCCCTTGCTACAAAGGCGAAGAAGTAGTTCATATTCGTCCAAGCTTGCACCTCCGTCTCGATGAAGCCTTCGTGAGCGGCTGGCGCGTCGTTGAAGGCCTCACGACAGGCCATGCCAAAGTCGGTCATTTCTTTGTAGAGGTAGTCATGCTCCTTGTTGTCCGGTATCGAGTGCTCCTTGAACGCGACGAGTAATTCGATGAGTTGGTGGTGTTGTGTTCGGGCGCCGTCGCGGAATGTTGATCGTCTTGCTGAGTGAATGATGCTGGTCCATAGGTCCATGAAATCGACATTGTCGAGTTTGGCCTCCTTGATCTTGTCATCAATCGGTCCGAGGATGCGCGCCGTCGCTTCTTTCACGTCGATCTTCTCATCGAGGTAGTCTTGGATCAATGGGTAGTACGCGCTGTCTTCTTTTGGACGGAACCATCCTCTTATCTTTGCAATCTGGTCAATTTGATCTGCTTCGTTCTGAAGGGTTGGGAGGATATCCTGGATCCTTTGGTTTTGTTGCTAGAACAGAATGTCAATTATGAGCTAAAATGAAATCACTATGAGCAAATACCGCTATGCGAGCCATTGTTCTGATCGGTGGAGCGAGACGTGGTGCGCTTAGGCTGGTGGGATGAGACAAAGGTACACGGTGTTTCCTTCTAGTGATGTCATACGCGGCGGTACCACGGTCAGTCCTACTAATCCCACGTGTATGCCTCGTTAAGGCAGCTGGTGACCTGTGCCGGACCAGTCGAAGTACGCTATGAGGCATCCCTTTCTGAAAGTGGATACACACGGCCAGTCTGTGTTGATAGGCGCGGAGCATAGTCCGCGTAACGGAAGGCAGGCGTTCGGTTGGCTGGAGGGGTGCATGGTACAAGAGCGACTGTTACACCTGTAGCAACCACGCCTATAGTATAGCCGATCCGCGCTATGATGGTTGTTTGAAGTGCGATGATCAGGATCGAAGCAGGAAGTCTTGAGAGAAGCTGATCGCCGAACGTGTGGGTGATCAACCCGAAGCTGTCGGTAAACAAGGGTCCTCGGAATGCCGGAGACGGGCTTCCCGCGGCCTGGGAACGTGTCTTTGCCCGCGGGGCACACCTGCATCGCACGGCAGTGATAAGGCGATCGTCAAAAACAATTCAATTCCAAAGCTTGAGTGAAGTTCGGTGATCAAGGGGGAAGTTTTTGCATTTCATGAAGTCAGCGATGGACCCGGGAGGTATTCACTATTCCGCAGTACCACCTGGGTACTGTACCCTCAAAACTACGATGTATTCTTCAACCCTGTCTTACAGCAAAGATGAAGTGCGCTGTTGACTGAGGCTTGGGCTTCGTATCGGCTCGATCTGGTCAAAGAGATTCCTCTCTCACAGCTTCGCACCCTTCTCCCTTTCCGCCAAAGCTCTCAAATCCTTCCGAAGAATCTTGCCTGCCGGACTCTTAGGAATCTCATCCAAGAATACCACCTAGAGATGAATTTACGAATTAGCATATGTCTCAAATCAGTTCGTGGAGGCTACTTACACCTCCCCTCAACTGTTTATGCCCAGCAACCTTCCCCTTGACGAATTCAACAATCTCTTCTGACCCAATCTTACCCTTGTCAGCGACAACGTATGCTCTCGGCACCTCATTCGTCCCATCATCCGTCGACACACCAATAACTGCAGCATCCAGTACGAGCGGATGACTGAGCAACACGGCTTCCAACTCAGCCGGCGCAACCTGTAGCCCCTTGTACTTAATCAACTCCTTCTTCCTGTCCTGAAAAGATAGAGGTACGAAGTCAGTATATGTCTCACACACACTTCGTACACTTAGAACTTACCACGATATAGAACATCCCATTCCTAAACTCCGCGATGTCACCCGTGTGGAACCAACCATCGTGAGTGAAAGCCTCCCTATCCGCCTCTTCATTCCGATAATACCCCTTACACACCACGGGCCCTTTCACCAGCACCTCCCCAGCCATCCCCTCTTCCACATCCCCTCCCTCATCATCAACAAGCCTAGCCCGCATATTCGGCAACAACATAGCCACACTCCCCGTATCATCCCTTCTCCCGGGCGTCATAATCGTCGCACTCCCCGTCGTCTCACTCAAGCCCCAGGTCTGATCCACAAAACACTCCTCCCCACCAAGTTTCTGACTAGCTGCATACTGAAGATCTCTTCCTAATGGCGCGGCTCCCGAGACACAGAATTCCAGGGAGGCGAATTGGGTGGTTGCGAGGGGACTTTTGGCGATTAGCAAAAGGATGGGGGGAACGGTGAAGAAGAAGGTTATGCGGTAGAGGGCGTTGTAGGAGAGGAAGGAGGGGAAGTCGAAGCGCGGCATCCAGTATACGGTTCCGCCGAGGTAGAAGGGGTTTATCAGGTAGCCTTGTACGCCGGCTATGTGGGCGGTGGGGAGGTCTGGTGGGGGATGGGATGTCAGCGTACATGCATCTCAGTTGCCAATTCGTAGGAGGAAGCATGACTTACGGGCGATTGTGCGGTATTCAAACCCCGGGCGTTTTTCTTTCACCCACGCTTTCATCATATCCCCCGTACTAACAGTCTGGCTCACAATATTGCGGTGTGAAAGCTTTACTCCCTTGGGTAATCCAGTCGTCCCAGAGCTATAAATCAGCACTATCAGACTCTCGTCCAGCTCTTTCCTGTCCGTGATCCGCGTCCACGACAGTAAATCTCCTTCATCAATGAGATTCCCCCCCGGCCTCCCATCTTCACCAACAATCTTCAACGTCCATTCCCTCCCCTCACTCATAAGCAGTACGCGCCCGCCTCCACCCTGACCCCACCCAGCGTCCTCTGCAGCTCTGATCGTAGTCTCTAGGGTAGCTTGGCAGGTGACAAGAATCTTCGAGCTGGCACCTTGTAGTTGCTTGGCTAGTTCGCTGGCCGTGCTTGCTGCGGAGGCAGCGGAGAAGATACCGCCTGCACCGATGATTCCATACGCCAGGACAGGGAGGAGGTAGTGGCCAGTTGAGATAACGGAGCACACGTCT